GCTCACTGAATATTTTCTCTTTTCAGACCATTCTCTGTAAACCCTAGAATGGTTGTGCGTGAAAATGCCAGGAGATCAGGAGTTTCTGAACTACTCAGACCAGCCTGTCTGGCACAAGTATGTTCAGTTACTTAAATCACCTTTCTATCCCATTCTGATGCTCTGTTTGCAGCAGAACACCTTCACCATGTCAACATGCCTAATTGCATTGAGTTGGTGCCATGTGACTGATTTAAAATGTAGGTTAACGAGCAGTTGGACAGGTATACCTAATAAAGTGGCCAGATTGTTAAAATTGAATACAATTATTTTCAGAAGTCATGCATTTCTTCATATTTACTTCTATTATATAGTTCTTTGCAATCACAATTTTTAAAAAATAGATAGCACTAAACACTAATCTTTTAATAGTTGTAAATATTATAATTATAGTCATCTTTCTTGAGTTTTAAGATGTTATTAAATAAAACTTTTAGTGGTATGATGTCCTCAGCATGGAAATAAATGATCAAAAGACAAAAATTAATAAAACATTAATAAAATGAAATTATCAAAATATGTATTCATATCTAAAAGATGATTCCGTTACGCACTTTGTGATAAATCACATCATTGATCAGTTCCAGTCGCAACATGAATGTGTTCCATCTTTCAGACCAAACAGAGCACCTTTGTACACAAAGCGTCCAAGCGAACACACAGACTCTACCGTGTTTATGAGCTCAAGCTTTGGGTCAACAGATGAGATCATTTTTAATGTAGCGACACAACCTGAGCAGAACATCTTAAAAGCGTTACACACCAGGAAACAAGAACACTTCTCTGCAGAAGACGGGCCAGTTTGTGTATAAATAGCAGCAGGATTGCAGGCGCTACTTGAATTGTGGTCTTTGTGTGGTTTGTAGGCAGTGTAGTCTATGCCAGTTTGGGAGGGGGCACAGAGTGTGTTTAATTTGGTTTTGTGCCCATGTGTGCCCTGATCATGTGTTTATGGGTGCATTCAATCTGGAGTAGGGTTGTATGGAGATGCTTAGAGTAACTGTGGCCTCTACACTAGAGATGCTGAGTGATTGAGTTCAATCATCTAAGGGAGGGGGGGTGCTACATATATCCCACGATTGGGAAAACATTACGAGAAACCTGATGCAGCGACTCAGCGTTCGCAAGGACATGGGCTCGGAAATAACAGCAATTCGCAGTTTCAACTGTTTCATTTTCTGGACCTGCCTTATAGCTTGAGTATGTCTTGGAGAGTACAAACATACAATGCAAGCTCTCCAGACACTGATTAGAAAGGTATCGGGTGGAATAGAGTAATAGAGTAGTAGATCGGACAATGTCCAGGGAAGCATGGTTGATTTGGTTAAAAAAGACTACAAACCTACCACTTGATCAGCATTTTGTCAAGCTTTGTTCCCCCTACTTTTATCTCTGATCTGATCATTACACCAAAAACATTCCCCTATTATATTTACCCTGTACCGCCATCTCTTTTCAAACACTGCATACCTGTAATTTCCTTGCCTATCTCTCTTATTATTCTTGAATCCCTCTGCTCTTGTATTGTCCCCACAGAACTGAAAACTGCTGCCATCACTCCAGTTTTACAGAAACATGGTCTTGACCAATCAGTTTTTTTTCGCACCCACCATACTATTGAGACAGCACTCATAAATGTCGACGATGAACTTATCGCCACTGACTCAGGCAACCTCAGTTTCCTAATTCTTCTGAATCTCTCAGACACGATCTCCCACACTATCCTCATCTCATGTCCTTCTTCTCTAGGTGTCTCTGGCACACTTTTATTGGGGTTTATTGTTTTACCTATCTGACCGCCAGCACTACATTTACAGCTCCAAATCAGTACTGCATATGTCTCTCACAGTGTTCCACAGGGCTCAGTTCTTGGTCCACTTCTCTTTATTATTTACCTGTTACTTCTTGGTTCATCATCATGGTTTCAACTTTCATTGTTACTATTATTAAATGGCCTTGAGTTAATGACTGACTGAATTCCAGCAGAATACCTTAGATCTATTCTAAACATAAAATGGAGGGGTTTTTATAAGGAGACACTAATCTAAACGTTATCATAAAACAGATAAGAAATGCCATTACAAACATAAAGCTGAGTTCAGACTGCATGATTTTATCCCGAATCAGAGCTTATGTGACATACCCAAGACTTACTTTGAGAGAGTCGCAGGGGAGTCGCAGGCTGTTCGTGAGAAATTTGGCATGCTAAATACTTGGAGCTGTCAGGGTGTGAGAATTGCGCAGTGTGAAATGTTCTGACTGTGATTACCTGCAGCCAATGAGAGAGCCACCTCAGGACAACATGAAGTTGTAAAGGATATACAAAGGGCAATATTTCGGTCCAAAAGCGGCTCCTTTTCAGTGTATTTGGACTAAAAACTTTCCCCTGCACTTCGGCCTGGCACATGCAACGTTGAATTTTCAAATAATTTCTTCTGAATGTTTGCTGCAAAACCTATTTCAAGTACATAGGCAAATTCTGAACAAAATGTAAGTCTCCGTCTTAAATCATAAAGTGTGAAATACCCTGTAGCTGATCTATTGTGCAACAGTCATGCAGTGTGAAACGATCTGTGACACGACTGCTCTGAACATCTTGCTAAACCCGGATTAAAACAGGCAAAAATGATCAGGAAATTAAACAGACGCCGTGAGTGGGCCGAAACCAAAGACTTTTAGAGGACAGGTGAGCAAAATTCCTTTTTACTAATGGCGAATCTTTTAGGGTTGTTTTATCTGTTTTACATTGAATTAAATGTCCCTTCTAGACAAATATTTTCTACCGGTATTTTAGATATTTAACTATGCATGCTACAATGTTTTTATTTTTTAATAAAACAACACAAACAAAGGTGCTTGTGTTTGACACACAGTTAAGACATTTCCTGGACAGCCAATCTTAAACCGTGAAATGCCCGCTTTAGTCTGAACTGCTATTTCACCAGCTGCTCAGAGCAAACAAGGGATTGCAAACTCAGTTTACCAACAAGACTTTCCTTTTTAACACCTACCGTCAAAACCACTGTGTGTGCTGCTCAAGTGGATTATTTGACCATGTTGTCTACATCCATTTCAATGACGTAAACATTTCTTTCCTTCTATCATTCACTTTTTTGGGCAAACTTGGCACCTGAGTGGGCCTTCACAGCAGCAGCTTGTTCTTCTTATGTTGCTCTGGGTGGTTCTCTAAACCACGCTGTTTTTCTTCTTCCCCTCCCATGGCCCCCTGCTCTCCAGCTTTCTCCACTCTCTCACTTCACAGGCATTCCTCTGGTATTTATATTTCCCTCCTGAACCCAGCAGTGCTTGCACAGACCTTGAATTCAGCTCAGCCTCAAGGCCAACCTCCTCCATCCTACTCTCCCACTGGCTCACCTCAAGTCACATGACTCAGAACAGGGGGCGTGGCTGACAGCTGGCTCTCCTCCCAGAATTCAGAGCTCTTTGGATTCACATCTCACACGTGTGGTATTGTTGGAGGTCAGACAGACAGTGTTGTGAGTCTTTCAGGTGTTTGTTTTTGGGGTAGGGAAAGTTCTCACCGTGCAACCATGTACAGGGAGCTGGCCCGCACCGAGAGCAGCGAATGCCTGGGCAACATGACTCCAGAGACGCAGGACATCTACCTGAGGATGGATCACCTCAGACGGCGCTCTGGATACAGGCTGGGCAGGATCATTGCCCGCCAACAGCTACTCAAAAGAATAGCAGCAGGTACAACTTGGTGGAAGACATTTTTGTCAAACTTTTGGTCAATCCACACTATTCGGTTGCTCTATCTGTCACTGGTATGCCATTGAACACTGTATGTGGTTCTTTTTAGTAGTTAACATCCTCAAAATATAGATTGAATGGTGTTGAGCTTCTTATTTTTGTGACTGTTTCATCTGTCGTTATTTAGTCGGAAACCAGAAAACTTGGGTGCACACTACAATCACTGTCTTAACCTTTGAATCTTTGTTTGTCTCATAAATCCCTGGTTTAAATATTCTTTGTATTGAGGTACAGCAGAAGGGTTTTTCGCTTAGGAATATCCAGTCACACCTCTCTGGGTGCTGTTTTCAGGCAGCATTTGCCCGGGATCCTCCTCTTATTGCTTGGTTCACTTCTGAGAATCTACCTGAGATGGTTTGAATAAATTATAGGAGACCTCTAGACCATTCAGTCGGATGAATGGCAGTCCTCACTTTTCTTATGAAGAGTAGACCTTTATTTTCAGCTTACCTGTACCTGACAGGACTTCTGACCTGACATTCTTTTGTTTTATTGTTTACTGAAGGATAAGCTGATATGTCTCTATTATGGTTTTGTATTATCTAAAACTCATAGTCAGATAAAGGAACATCGAGTCAAAGTTCAAATATTCAGAATTCCTCAAGAAACATTTGAAAACATTGAATCAACATTTTTTACGTTTTCCATTTAAAATTCATATGAAATCCCTAACTTTGAAATTATTTTTTATTGATACATTTTGAGATCAAATTTTTGTTTCTGTAGGCCTCCTTGTATTCCAATCATGAATCAGTCAGGAGATTTTCTTAATGTCTTTGTTTTTCCAATTCTGAAGGATGGCAGAAGACGAATTTGTGATTAGGTGACTTGATGTGAGAGAGAGTGCACAACACAGACACGCATTTATTTGTATTTTCAGTGCACTTCAAACCTTGTTCATAAAAATTTTTCAAAACCATTGGCTTGCTTACAATTTTGTTCCAATCTCACACTCAGACGAACACTTTGACCCTGTCCATAACCACCCATTTTTTTGAAAATTGGAAATTTTTACTTGGTTGCACTGTTCTTCCACAATCATTTTCCATTTCATGTAACCACACATTTTTGAAAATGATGGTCAATCTGTGTCGTTTTTACATTTACATTTATGCATTTGGCAGATGCTTTTATCCAAAGTGACTTACATTTGAAAGAATGATTACATTTTTTGTTTCAGTTCCTGCTGTCCCTGGAATTTGAGCCCACAACCTTTGCGTTGTTAGCGCAATGCTCTACCAACAGAGCCACAGGAACGCACAGTTTTGTTTTCCTGAGGGCATCGAGCTTTCAAGGGTTTTGGTGGAGTACTGTGCTTGACTACTTTTTTAACACAGACAAGGCTTCTGATTTGCTGATATGACTTTAACCTTGTATTTCACTGCCACCTGTTGGTTCGATATAGTCTTTATAGCATATGGTGGGGAATCTTTGCGTTTTCGAATGGATGAACGAATGCAAACATAAACTTAAACAGCAATTCATTTTCATGCATTTGTAGCCCATTACCATGAGTCTCTTGTTCATTTATATTAAATACATTGCTCTAATGCAGTCGTGTCTCTTTTTGTCAATTTTTGGCTCTTTCAGTAAAAGTAAAGGTATCCTGCATTGCAAGAGATTCAAAAATTGGAGCTTCCTCACCTGACGCTCTAATGTTACAAAAAACAAAAACATTAAAACTCATCTGTGCTCATCACACTTGGATGAGTTTCTGTTCATTATTCCACTAATAAGCCCATAATTGATCCACGAAGAGTGCTTTCTCTGCATTTGTATTATGTAAAGAATCTAAACATGCCAAACTCTGGATTGTGTGCAAGAAACATGATGGAAATTGGTCATTTTTCGCATTTTCAAAACTTTCAATATGTACAATAGAAAGAGAACTGGGAGGGTATGATTAATGGACCCCCTAAAAGAACACCTAATTATTTTAACTTTATATTTTTAGAGAAAAAAAAGGTCCATGTTCTTAAGCTAATGACATTAGATGTTTAGAAGCTAATTTGCAGTTTGCCTCTTGAATGTTTAATGTCACTCGTGTTTGAGTAGCTTTTGTTTAACTGACCTGGAGTCATTTCCTTAGAGTTCTCGTGTTACCTGATTAAGAATGTTCTGGCTGTTCTTCGAAAGGAGATGTTTTCAGAGATGCAAGTAGAAGCTCAATGTCTGGACCTTGATGGATTGTGATAAGGTGTTTGTTATAGCCCGACTTGTTGGGTCTTGCCCACTTGAGTCTGTGGTGCCTGGTTTGTTGGGTGCCAGACGATGTGGTTACTTAATACCTTTCTTGTTTGTGGCATTGCTGTTGCTTTAGAATCTCAAAGGCTATTTATTTGCAAGGGCTCAAAGGTTGTGGAACATTTCAAGATAGATCCTTTGTAAACAGGAAGTCCATTCACTAGTTTAACACAGCATTTAGCTGTGTAGTAAAGCAAAGTCTTGTTTAGGCAGTCACGTACAACCATAAAACTCTCTCGTTGTTTGTTTACACTGAAAAGGCTTTACTGCAGTGTGAAACTGAGTTGCTCTTTTACATTTTCCACTCTACTATATGTTATTTATATTGCTTATTATTATATTATGTTGTTGATTCTCTTTAGTTTAAAAACAATCTATCAAGATATCCACAATTTCCAGACTTTCACACATTTGACAACACTGTGTCAATAAATGAATGTTATTATGCTATATTGATGAAACAATGGAGAATCCTTCTTGTCCTTACGTCTTTCCATCAAAAGCAATTTGTTTTAATAGCTTGGTTGTCTTATAGTTTCTGCCTTTGAGAAAGTGTAAAATTTGTACGATTTTAAGACTAAGTTTCTGAAATTCTCTTGAATTGTGTAGATTGTCTCAAGCAGTTGTGTTTGTTACTTTATTTTAAAAGTTTATTATGATGTATAAAACCTGAATGTTCAGTTTTAATATGAATACAATTCTAGCTAGAGTAACTTTCTGTTGGAAAACAACAGTGCACCATCCGCCTCATGTCCATGGCTAAATAAACTGGTTGAATTGGTTTGAGTCTTGTATTGAGAATTAGAATTCTTACATACTCTGTAAAAATAACAATTTAAACGGGCTAAAAATTCAGACAGTAAAAGTTGCCAAACAGTTATACCAATTATTTTATGTTTAGATTACATTCAAATATTTATTTTGTATATTTTAGCTGTAAAGTTAGAGTTACATTTGGTAGAATTAAAAGGGTTTAATATAATGCAAACACATCTAAAATGTAAAAATTAAAAGCTAAAATGCTGTCAAGATTTCACTTAAATTTCACTAAATATAGATTTCACTTACAAGAATGTGAAGGACTGTATTTAACTATTTTATTGTACAAAGGTCATTTAAAAGCGATGATTTAAACTATAATTAAAGTTGCTATAAAAATCTGGATTTTGTCATACTTGTTGTGGAAAAAACATTTTCTGATTAACACAATTTATTCTGCATTTGTTAAATAACAGAACTTCACTATCTTTCAAACCCCCCCCCCCCCCCAAAAAAAAAAATAAAAAAAATAAATGAATTTGTGAACTGGTTGCTTGTTTAGTGGATTTAGTGGCTGGTCAGTTAGTTGCTTGTTTGGTTTATTGGTAGGTTGGTTGGTTGGTTGGTTGTTTGCTTGGTTCGCAGGCTTGTTGGTTGGTTGCTTGTTTAGTTGATTAGTTGGTTTGGTTAGATGCTTGTAAATGTATTGATTAGTTGTTGTTTTTTTTAGTTGGTTGGTTGCTTGCTTGTTTTGCTGTTTTGTTGGTTGCATTTATAAATCTTTAATGATGCATCTGATAAGTTTCTCTTCATAAAGTCCCTCTGTTTTTTTATTTGGGGTTGTTGGAGGTTCTTAAAACAGCTCTTCACCTTTGTGATGTTTATGGTAATGTAGCTGGTTTGTTTCCTGTGGTGCTCTGAAATTTTGCGTTCCTTCTTTGCTCTTAATAGCTACCCATATGGACACCAGACCCTCGGCACATCTGCCATGACTCCATACACGATATTCCTAAAATTTCCATCTAGCCATAAAACATCCTTTTATATTTGTAGACTGGTATTCACAAATTTCATGAAATGAATGAGCTATTCTTATTTCTGGAGGAAATTAAACTGTCCAATAATTTTCCAGGCAGATGTCTGCATAATAGTCTCATTTATATGTAATCACACTGACTCAAATACAGAGTTTTATTCAATACATAATAGAAATAAAAATGTTTCATTAAGCTTTTTTTTTAATAAAACCTATTTAAGATGGCTTTTAATGTTTAATCTGTACCTGCACTATTGTTGTGTATTTTAATATTATTTTTCTTAGTATTTTATTGTTCTTGTTTCATTGTATGGTGTCCTTGAGTTGCCAGAAAGGCGCCTTTAAATAAAATGTATTATTATTATTAATAAGCTTAAATCACACAATTTATAATAAAGATGTGAGGGAGCTACTTAGAAACATAAGAAATTGTTAAGTTTGCTAACATCGCTCAACCTAGGTCTACTGTCATCAAGCCTAATTACTTGTTGTCATAGTTTATTTCTCAAATGCAGAGCAGGGGTCAGAACTCAGAACAAAGGGCAGTGTTGAACTTCTCCCACTCAGCCGTTAAAAACAGAGTAACGCTGTCCTCCCTGTAAAGATCATTAGCTCGGTGTTGTATTGCTGTCTCCTCCTGTCCTCTCTGAGAGTAATGGCCCGACAACCCCACGCAGCGGCTGGACCTTAGTGTTAGAGGCAAGCGTGTCTCACATGGCCAGCCGAGTTATGCCAAACTGTGGCGACCGCCCCATGACACCCATGCAAAAGCCCAACTTTTAAAATGATTTCCTCAGAAATTACGTTATTTACACAAACTGTTTTTATGGCTTTGGAAAGTAATCTATACAGTGAAATAAGTTTTTGGTTTAGGTTTATTTTTGGGTGGTTCAGGATGGTTCAATATCACCCTTGAAAAAAAAACGGGACCATGTGATTGACAGCTTTGATTGACCTACCACTGTTATCACGTCACAAAAAAGACATACTTCTCAAATTCTTGGTTAAAATTACAAAATAAGTTGTTTATAACAGACTGTGTGAGAGGGGCATGTGCGAGTAGGACTCAAGGTGGTGCTCTGAAATCATGATGTGTCCATCCATCCTCATTAGGAAGTTGTGTGTGCACATATCCATCCATCAATGGCAGCCTTCAGTTTAGCTCTGAAAAAGCCTCATTTTAGCCTAGTGGCATCAGTCTGTGCCACGTCCAAGGATCTTTTTAGAATGGGAACCTTTTGAAATGTATGATATAAACTGATTAAAATGTTTTTCTCATGTTTAACTTGCTACAAATTTGATAGCATTTTCATTACTAGAATTGAGGAGCTGAAATTGTACATGGTTTAGCTTAAATCCAACTTAAATTACATTTGTACAGAAATCCAAAATGCAGAAAACCTTATGTTTTCTTTGGTCCATCCTAGTTCTAACATTGTTTAACATTGTAAATGTCATTTAATTTATGCCAAACCATGAAACACATCTTCCATTGAATCTTTGGCAAATCAATAAT